AGTTTTACTATTTGAAGAATGTGAGTTCAAAATTTTACCACATTTTTTTTTATAAAGTTAAAGTTGTTCTTCAGCATTAAGGGTATGCTGGCTACCTCCAAAAAGTTACAATCTAAAACCATAATTACATAGATCCTAGGAAATCTACCAACTGTTCTACTTCTTCTATACCATCTTCTTTACACCAAAAAAACAACACGTTAATGCAATTTTCTTTAACTTTCTAAATAGAGTTAGTAATATTCTCATGACACCTAAGGTTTCTTTCTCTCCAAATAGCCCACCAGACACAAGTAGGTACTATAGACCACCATCTTTTTTGGGTCCTGCTCCCCCCCCCCCTCCTCATCCAGCAGCTCAGAAGATCAGCAGTATGTTCTGGCATCACCCAGGGCTCTTGAGAAATGCTGAGAACCATGCGCCACACCTGGACAGTAACCCTACAGTGTAGGAATAAGTGGCTGTTAGTTTCTTCCTTCTCATGACAAAAAAAACATCTGGAAACAATCTGGAAGCCTCTTTTCTTGAGTTTTTCTTGAGTGAGACATGCCCTTCTGATGACCAACCAGGTGAAGCATTTCACCTTGTTTGGGGTGTTGCCCTTCCATATTTGTTTCCATGGACCAAGAAATCCCCCAGAGTGAGTCACGACCTCTCTCTTATACAGTCTACGCACAGAGAGCTTACCATCAGAGTTATGTTTCCATCTTATACTATCTGCTTCTGTAGTAAGACCCGTGAATTCACCCAATTTGAGTAGCAATTCAGCAATTCTATCCACTTTCCAATCATTTAGATTTCTCCTGAAAGTGAGGTTCCATCCCTGAGGGGACCAAATCTCAGCAATTTTAGCCTCAGGATTGGTACAAAAAGAAAAAAGATCAGGGAAGACCAAGTTTAAACACTCTTGTTCAATCCACTTGTCCTTCCAAAAAAATATTTTGTTACCCTCTCCCACCTTGACCACCAAATTCTCCTTTAGACTATCCCATAAATTTCTGATTGATCTCCAAACTGATACCCCATACGTGCTATATACTACATTAGACACCCACTCCTCCATCTGTCCATACTTGTTGAGAATTGCTTTCCTCCATAATGCCTGATCTTCAACCACAAATCTCCAAAGCCATTTAGAAAGTAAACTTTTGTTCTGGACCCTCAGATTTTTTATGCCAAGACCTCATGTCTTCTTACTTAGTAAGGTTGTCTGCCATTTAACTAAGTGTATTTTTTCCCTTCTTTGTTCCCCGACCATAGAAAATCACGCCTCAATTTATCCAACCTCTCTTCTACCTTTGCTGGTAAAAGGAAAAGTGACATAACATATGTAGGCAACGCATCCAGAACTGAATTGATCAGAGTGACTCTTCCTCCCAGAGATAGATAGTTTGCCTTCCAATTAGCCAACCTCTTCTCTGTCTTCTCAATGATTCCATCCCAAATCTCAAGCTCCTTGTGATTATTCCCCAAAGGCATTCCCAGGTAAGTAGTTGGTAAGTGCTCTATCTTGCATTGCAAGATGCTTATCAACAGCTGAATATTTGCCACTTCCTTGATTTGGAAGATGTTGTTTTCCCCCCAGTTCACAGCCAGTCCGGAGATGGCCTCAAAAATCACCAAAACAACTCTAATGTAACTAACTTGCTCGCAAAATATTAGTGTGCCATCTGCATATAAAAGGTGACATATTTGTAAATTGACCCCTGACTGATTATCAATGTTGAAACCCTTTATCCAGTTGTTCTGATTGGCCACTCTAATCATACTGTTAAGACCCTCCGTTGCTAAAATAAATAGGAAAGGGGAGAGAGGATCTCCATGTCGTAGTCCTCTCTCAGAAGGAAAAAAAACAGCAGGTTATCCATTAACAAGTATGGAGAACCTGACAATTTTGATGCAAAAACCTATCCATTTAAGCCATTTGTCTCCAAACCCCATCTGCCTTAGAATATTAAGTAGAAACTCCCAATTGACATGATCATATGCCTTTTCTATATCAAGCTTGCACATAATTCCTGGGATCTCTCCTTTAATCCTTGAATCTACACACTCACTTGCTATTAATGCGGCATCCATAATTTGTCTTCCTTGAATGAAGGCCATTTGATGATTGTTCACTAATTTGCTTATCACTTTCTTTAATCTCTCTGCCAACAGCTTACCAAAGACCTTGTACACACCACTAATGAGACTAATGGATCTAAAATCCCTAAGTTCCATAGCTCCTGTCTTCTTTGGAATTAGAGCCACATAGGTGGAGTTGAGGCTCTTCTCTATCTCATGTCTTTCATGAAATTGTCTCACTGCTTTCATGAAGTCTGTCTTCAGAATCTCCCAGAAGATTTGGAAAAAACTCATCGGAAAGCCATCTGGTCCGGGGGCCTTATCACTAGCACATGATTTTATGCAATTAAAAACTTCATCTTCCTCGAATTGCCTCTGCAACCATACATTTTCCTCTTGTGTAATGCTTTCCGCTCCCTGAGTTCAAAATTTTACCACTTCCGGAGTAAATTTTGAAGTTCTACTACTCCAGGAGTAAAGTACACAGTTCTACTACTTCGGGAGTAGATATTAGATTCTTACTACTTGGGGAGTTGGTGGCAAAGTGTTTACTACTTCTGGAGAGAATTTTAGGTTTATGTCACGCCATAAACTACTCCTAGACATGATTGGCACCCAACACAAACCACTGACCAGGTCAACCCAATTTCCATACCTGAACCATTAATTCACAACATTTGATGAATTAAATAAGTATTCAAACAGTATGATAAATAAATATGAACACTTAGGGTCGGTTTGAAAGCCACTAGGTAATTGAAATTGGTGTCATTACTCATTACTAGGGTAGTAAATCCAGCCTAGTAATTACATAACCTAGTAATTACATTGACCTGTTTGTCAATCTTTCGATGATTAGGTTAAAAAAGATCTTGTACACCACTCCAATTATGTTGATTGGTCTGAAATCTTTTAATTTCATTGCCTCAGGTCTTGTTGACCAATATCAATTAGAAAGGTGTACAAATTGAGATTGGTAGTACCCGAAGCTTTTCTTTTGAATTTGTTAAAGGACCATGATGCTGCTTGCTTGTACTCTCCCATTTCTAGTTCCTTTAACAAAATTATAATTATTAAGGTTTTGGCCAATAATGACAAATTAAAGTAATTCTCCAATTTTGCAATAGTATCAGTTTACTATTTTGGGAGGAAAATTCAGATTTACTACTTTGTAAGTAAATTTCAAAACATTCCTCTATAATTATTTTACCCCGTCTGGAAGTGTTTGGTGATAACTTCACGATCAACATTCTTTTATTAGTGTGACAATAATCATCATCATCGTGTAAACATCAACGTGTATAAAACATAATCAAGTTATGCATGAACCATGATATTCATATTTTAATTAATTCATCACACTCACAAGTTCTTAGTTTCATAATATTCCCATGATGGCAGAGTATCGTACTTATAATGTGTTGTAAAATAATAAACAAAAGGAAGAAAATTGTAGAGAAACGTTGAGAGAAGGTAGAAAGCTTCTAATTTCTCTCAATGAATATAATACAATGACTGAGAACTCCTTTATGTATAAGGGAAAACTAACTTGGTCCAAAAGTAATTAGCTCTAAATTTTCTCCAAGAAACAAAATAGTTGCAGTATTCAAGTAGTAGGCAACATTCGTTTTTACTCTTGAGTTGGCCAAACCATTATGTTTTATTTCTTCTTTACAAGTGATCCAAGAATGTTTCTATTAATTTTTTCAGCTAAAATTTCAATATATTATATATGCTACATATGTTGTACATATTTATAGAATCTTGTAGGTAACGAGACTACAATTGATTATTTGTACATATTGTATGGTGTTAAAGGATCTAAACGTGTAACAATGTAAGAGAGTAAAAGCTCTAAAACTGTAAAGTATCCTTACATGCTTGTTGAATATGAAGCATTGTTGATCGTTAGGGAAGGAGTGTTTGCTTGAGGTTAGATTATTAAGAAGGGTATTTTAGTAATTTAACTTTTAAGTTGGGATTTCTACTTTTAATATAATATGAATAAATATAGATTAAAAAGATGGACATATTTGTATATATACTCATTCTTAGACAAGTACATTTAGATGGCTACTAGAATGTATCTATTTACTTGAAATAATATCTGCCACTGTCCCCCAAAATTTGCTTGAAATTTTAATGTTGTAAGCAATCAACTTCTTTATTTTGTGCTATCCTCAATTTTGTTTTATTTGTAGTACCTTCATATTCTTCAGCTCAGATGGGAAACGTAAATGATTCTGATTGGCAAGAAGAAGTTTTTCAAAAGGTTCAATTATCAGTATACTTAACCATCCAATTCGTTATTTTGTTATTATTCAAGTGAAACAGTTTCTCCTTGTGAGTAAGTTGAATCTCATGCTTGTTAAACTTCAACACGTGTTGCAGAATGCGTCCCAACTTAACAAGCATGAGTTCAACTTGCTCACTTGGAGAAACTGTTTTTGCTTGAGAAGCACGTAAGTTTCTTTCTTAGTGGAAAATGGCCGCATAAGCCTACTTCTATATTGCCCGAGCAACTTCCTCAGCCTTCCATGCATACAACAACTTAGGTATGCCGTATGAACTTGTTTCGATAATTCAATTGTTTTCACCTTGTTGAAGTTGTTTTTCTGCTTGTGTTAAAATACATCTACATTTCCTATAATTGTTTGTACAAAACCTTGCCATGCAACAATCTGAAATTTGGCGAGTGTTTTCTTCGGTGGGGGGTGGAGCTTTGATAGCTTTGGACTTGTGATAATTGTCCAAACATAAATCTCTTAAGTGATATATGATCTCTCTTGTTTCTTTTGATTTATTCTAAGATCTCATGTGTTTAAGTATAATGATATAAAGGTTGAAAATTTGAGTAGAAGGTTAGTAAGCAATTGATTGTCGTACATCTAGTAGAACATCAGCGCTCAAATTCCTTAATCGTTATTGTCCAGGCTTCGATGATCAACCAGGCACATTATGGTTGTTTTGAAATCTTGGATACACCTTTGAGCACATGTTGAGGAATGATTGGAGAAAATCGAGACTCATTCCAAAAAGGTAGAAACATTGTTTGCCGGGGGTGGAGCAAGGTAAGGCTGAGGGGTTCATCCGAACTCTCTTTGGCAAAAAATTACATTGTTTATACATGCTTAATATTATTTTTTTATGTATATATAATAGATGTTGAACCTACTTAGACTTTTTCTAGTGTTTACTTGTTCATATTTTGAACCCTCTAAGATCCTTTAAGAACTCTTGAGATAGTTATGACTCGCAAAATTTGTGATCTATCAAGTCACAAAATTCATATATCTTTTGTTTTGTTCTAAGATCTCACATGTTTAAAATTAGTAACTTTTTGCAATTTATCGATCTTTTCCGTTACTAATGATATCTCAATTTTCCATATGAACTCTCTTGTTAAGGACCAAAATAGTTAGTATCCCTTCTTTATTTTATAATAATTTAACAATGGAGAAAACTTTTGAAAAAGAGATTATTTGTCTTTCTCTTTCATAATCTGCCTTTAAAATTAGTTATGAACTCATTATATAGGCTAATTTCTTTTGTGATCATGCAATCAACATGATTTTGTAGGTGAAATGATAACGATTGAGTGATTGTTTTTATTATAAAATAGGGTTGAATAACTTTTAAAAATAATTATCATTAGTTGAGTGACCTTTATGTTACAACATAAAGTTTAATGACTTTTCTATTATAAAATTGAATGACTTTTTGAGATAATTATCATTAGTTGAGTGCCTTTGTGTTACAAAATAAATTTGAGTGAGTTTGTGAGATAAAAATTTATTATTTGAGAGACCATACCAAAAATTAACTCTATATTATATAAATATACCAGGGCTAACATTAGGGGGAAAGTTTATCAGAATTGAGATGTATACTGATACTTAAGAATGTGAGGATACCGGCCCGGCCATGGTTGCCACCGTAGCTTCGACTGTAGAATGGTCAACAAGACGTATTTCCTTTTTCTTATTGTAACCTCTACTTGATTTTTTCATTTCTTTTGTCAATGATTATACACTACTACTACAGTACTACATATTCATAGAATTGCAGGGGATCTCCCATTGGGAGTCTCAGGTTTGAAATCTTGCTACATGCTTTCTCATCGGGGATTGTCTAGTGTAGTATCTCTCCTATGTGGTTTGAGGGAGAGTTTTACTCCGTCAACCCTAAGAAGAGTAGTGTTTGTGGGTTCCCTTATCATAAATAAAAAAGAAAAGGAAATGATGAAGGGTAGAGGGTGGACCCATGATCTGATGAGTTTCTAACTCTGCGCCATTGACCACAGGGATTCTTGGCTATAAAAAAAGGTAAAAATAGTGAACAATAATGACATAGATGCTTTTATTTTATTGGACCACTATCAATTCTTTATTCATGGAAAGAGTACAACAACATAGTGTAATTTTACTAGCGGTGTCTGCGGTGTCGGCCCAAAAAAGTGATAGAGATTTGTAAAATTAATTGTAATTACAATATTATCCAACACAGAGTGCACTTTTGAATGGTAACCAAAAATATTGTGTTGGAGATTCATACTTCTACAGTAGTATAAGATTAAAAGATGGAAATATTAGCATATAACCAAATACCCAATCAATACCCCAGTGTAAAGTGGGAAACTTAACTTTCTTAGACAAGTACATTTGGAGGGAAATTAAAATGTATTAACATACCTAAAATATTTAACACTGTCCCAAATTTGCCTGAAATTTAATGATATAAGCAATCAAGTTCTTTAATATTTGTGCTTTCCTCAATTTTTGTTTTGTTTGTAGCAACTTTAGGTTCTACAGTTCAGACCGGAATTGCAAATGGAGGTGATTGGCACGAAGAAGTTTATGTAAAAGTATTGTTTGGAATGATATTTTTTATCTGCACAAGATTTTGAAAACTGTGGAAATTTGATGTGGGTTTTGATAAACTGCCTGGCTATAACATTATAAGAAATAGCTGAATATTTTTGAAATATTGCCTATGATTTTAGAGTAACAGAGAAGGTTTACCATACCAAGTGATTAGTTAAATTCATGGTTGTATCCCTCCCTTCAAGGTTCTTTATGTATTCCGTTTCTTAAGACGAAATAAAAAATTGAGTATGATAATGGGTAACTTGTTAGAAACGGGTATATTGTCAATTGAAAAGTAGTAATGCAACTACATCTCAATCCCAAGCAAGTTGAGGCTGCCTATATGAATCTCACTGTAGACGACGCTCTATTTAAGCTTGTCTTGGTTCAATATTGTCAACAACAAAAAAATAGTTTCACAAGCACTGAAATAATTGAGAAGTGAAGTATTATTTGATAAATTAACTGATTATAGAAAATTAGTTGTTGAATGTTGTGATCGTATTAGCAAGTTTGAACCTGTGACCCCCCTCTAACCCATACGTCACAAATTCACTCTTACATCATTTTTTTAAAAATCTTTTTTTATGACTAGGGAACCCACACTCGCTATCCTTAGAGTTCGCACAAAGTAAACCTCGTCCACATACCACATAGGAGAGATAAACCACACTAAACAACCCTGTGCGACTAGCCCGATTGAGAAAGCATGCAGGAACATTTTAAACCTGAGACTTTTCTACGAATATGAAGTAGAGGTAGTAGTGAATTATCCAAACAATTATGTTGGAAGTTGGTGAGATTTTTGTCACATCACCTTCCATGGGCCCTGTACGGGTTGCATCGATGGATTAGTTTGACCATCAAGAGATTGTGGTTGTTGAAGCTGCACGGAAGACTGAGGAAGGTTCTCCTGCACCGGAGAAGTAAGCTTTTTCGTCTGATTAGGTGTGACTAAGAAAATAATCTATGTGCTTCTCAACCAAAAGCATTTTCTCCTTGCGAGTAAGTTGAATATGATGTTTGTTAAGCCCCAAGAAATACAGAATGCGTTCCAATGTCATCTTGGACATCTTGAGCTTTACAATTTGCTCATTTGTAAGATGCTAATGAAGAGAGTCATGCTTAAAAGCAGAAACAAAAATAAGTTATTTCATGCTCAAAAGTTTGCTAAGGGCATGAAATTTTGAGCATGAAATAACTGATTTTTGTTTTTGATTATAAGCATGACTCTCTTCATCAGCATCTTACAAATGAGTAAATTGTAAAGCTCAAGATGTCCAAGTTGGCATTGGAACGCATTCTGTGTTTCTTGGGGGTTAACAATCATCATATTCAACTTACTCACAAAGAGAAAATGCTTTTGGTTGAGAAGCACATATTTTTTTCTTAGTCCCAATCAGACGGAAAAGCCTACTTCTCCAGTGCAGGAGCAACTTCCTCAGTCTTCCGTGCAGCTTCAGCAACCACAATCTCTTGATGGTCAAACTAATCCATCGATGCAACTCGTACAGGGGCCCATGGAAGGTTATGTGACAAAACTCTCACCAACTTCCAACATAATTGTTTGGATAATTCACTACTACTTCTACTTCATATTTGTAGAAAAGTCTCAGGTTTAAAATGTTCTTGCATGCTTTCTCAATCGGGTTTGTCGCACAGGGTTGTTTAGTGTGGTTTATCTCTCCTATGTGGACGAGGTTTACTTTGTGAGAACTCTAAGGCTAGCAAGTACGGGTTCCCTAGTCATAAAAAAGATCTTTTAAAAAATGACGTATGGGTTAGAGGGGTGTCTCACATGTTCAAACTTGCTATAGTCTAAAGTCGTTATTTAAGTGAATGGAGAAGGGTAGAGCATGGACCCATTATCAGTCGCTTTTCTAACTCTGCACCATTCGCCTCGGGATTTCTCAACTATTAAAAAAGGTAAAGAATAATGAACAACAACATACTTAGTATTATCCTACTAGTGGGGTTCGGTGAGGGTAAGATGCTTGCATATTTTACCCTACCTTTTGGGGTAGATAGACCGCTCAAAAGAAGTGTATTAATTCGTAAAATTAATTGTAATTACAATATTATCCAACACAAAGTGAACTTATGAATGGTAATCAAAATTGTGTGGGAGGTTTGTACTTTTTTAATAGTATAGATTGAAATATTAATATATACCCAATCAATACCCTAGTGTAAAATGGGAAACTTAATTGTCTTAAACAAGTACATTTGGAGGGAAGTTAAAATGCATTAATATACCTGAAATATCTAACACTAATCCAAAATTTTCCTGAAATTTTTATAATGTAAGCAATCAACTTCTGTAATATTTGTTTTATCCTCAATTTTTTGAAAATGCAAATGGAGTTGATTGGCAGGAAGAGTTTTACCAAAAGGTATTGTTTGCAAGGGTATTTTCATTTTGCATAAGATTTTGAAAACTGTTGAAATTACATATGTGGATTTTGATAAACTAGTTGGTTATAACATTATAAGAAATAGTTGAATGTTTCCTATGATTATAGAGCAATAGAAGAGGTTAACCATACCAAGTGTTTAGCTAAATTCACGGTCGTACCCCTCCCCCGCAAGGTGCTTTTATGTATTCCATTTTTTTTAGAGGAAACAGATATTTAGCATGTTACTAGATAACTTGTTAGAAACTGGTATATTCTCAATTTAGAAGTACTACTACAACTACACCTTAATTCGAACCACATCTACAAAATGCCAGTACCATGCTGCTGCTTCAAAGCCAACGTGATGCTCCTTTGTCAGATGACCAAGATATGAATTCTCACCGTCAATGGTGCTTTTTTTAAGCTTGTCTACGCAAAATATTGTCAACGACAAAAAATAAGTTTCACAAGCACTGACATAATTGAGAAGTCAAGTACTCTTTGATAAATTAATTGATTACAGAAAACTAGTTATTGATTACTAAGATCACATCATCTTAATTCATGAGGTAATATGTTTGTAAGTTTGGATCAAAGTCTTCTTAGTATGTCACCAATTTGCTTTACTAGCTAGGAATAAGTTGGAATACTTTGACTTCTTCAAGAATAAACATGTAACACTAACATGCTTTGTATACTCCATTCTTGTCGTTTTTCACTTGTGAAGGGTGTAAAGTTAAAAAAACATTAGAAAATGATGATTTCCATTAAACCGTATTATATCTCCAAACCCAACTTTTAAAAAGTATATTCTAATACTTCTTGATTGGGCTGGTCTATGATCACATTATGGAAGCAAACCTCAGTTGCTTATTTTACCATCTACATGTTAATCAATTGTAGTCTTTCTCTTTTACTTCACTTTTAACCTTTTTATCTGAAAGGTTCTTTTGTGAGGATCTGTAGTTTGTTCTTTATTACATCGTACAGTTGATTCTAATTATCACCTAATCACATGGGAATGTGTTCTTGACATTTCTTTCGGGGAAGGAATTAAGGCCTCCCGAGTTCTTCAGGCAAGGGCTTGATTTATCTGAAATTAAAGAGCACTTGAGTCAATATTCTGCTGAATTCGGGAACCTTGCGAGCTATGTTATTTGTCTCTTTATGACATTTCTTGAATTTTCCTCCCTTTTTCTTTGTCGTGGGAGGTAGCTGAATTTCAAAAGTTTGCTAAGGGAAAGAAATAGGACTGACTAAACTGATTTTTGTTTCTGATTTTAAGCAGGACTCTCTTCCACAGCATCTTACAAATGAGCAAATTGTACAACTCAAGATGTTCAAGATGACATTGGAACGCATTCTGTGTTTCTTGGGGGTTAACAAGCATGATATTCAACATGCTCAGAAGGAGAAATTGCTTTTGGTTGAGAAGCACAAAGATTTCTTTCTTAGTCCCTATCAGCTGCGAAAGCTTACTTCCTCAGTCTTCCATGCAGCTTCAGCAACCACAATCTCTTGATGGTCAAACTAATCCCTCGATGCAACCCGTACAGGGCAATCTTGGATCCCTACAACAAAATTCAAACAACCTGCAACAGTCACTCCTTAAGCAGCGCTCACAGCAAATGTTGCAGAACTAACAATTAAGACAGTTGCACCACCATCGACAAATACAACATCAATCTTTTCAAAGACAGCAATTAATGAAACGGCAGCACGAGCAACAAATGTTGTAGAACCAGCAATTAAGACAGCAGTACCACCATCGGCAGATACAACAACTTCTTTTTCAAAGATAGAAGTTAATGCAACAGCAACAAGCAAAGCAATAGTAGACCATGCTATTGCCAACCCACCAGATGTCACAGCTTCAACAGTCTTCCATGCAGCTTCAGCAACCACAATCCCTTGATGGTCGAAACTAATCCGCAGATGCAATCCGTGTAGGGTTCCATGGATGGCAATGCAACAAAACAATATTGCCGACTTGCAACATGATTGTTTGGATAATTCATTTGTTTTTTTATCGCACTCGTGAACGCATGCACCCTTCCCTAGATTATGTGAAGTAATGGAACTATTCACATATATTACTTAAACTTCATGTCGGAGCTCAGGCTAAAGTTTGAAATATATATCCATCTCCTAATTTTCTCTGTTTGGATCTTTAGCAATACTTTCACAAAAAAAAAATCATTAAAAAGCGTTAGGGTTTCAGTGTCTCCCAAGAGCTCCCTCGATGCACGTTAGCTTAACGTGCACCAGCCATGGGCGAACATGATCCCATCGGCAAAATGATGATGAATAACCTTGGGAAAGATACAAAGACAGTAGGAACTGTGAAAAGCATAGGAGGCAAAAGCTCTGCAATGTATACCAATGGAACAGTAGATGCGAACAATATGTCAATAGGAGCAGTGATTCAGGAATTAAAAGGAAGGGAGGAAGATACACCTCCAAGGAAATGTACTACACCATCTAAGGAACGAGTCCAGGAGTGGACGATTAATGTTTCTACTGGAGGCTCAAAACTCTCATGGGCAGAGGAGGCTGAATAAGAGGAAGACTAGGCAGGAAAGGAGGATTCCTTGGCGACTGTAGAGAGAGGTTGATCACCTGAGAGCAGTTCCATTTGGAAGAACTTTGATATTACAAAGCTAGCGAATGTTGGGTTCAAACTCAAATATATCAATCTTGAGAAGCTCAGAAGTGATGCAGTGTTGGGTGCACACCCACCATTTGTAGTACTAAATGGCTATGTACAACGAATTTGGGGGAGATATGGCATTAACAAAGTTGCTATGATGAAGAATGGGATCCTGCTTGTCCAATTTGATTATGAACAAGGGAAGATAGATGCATTGCAAGGGGAAATCTATCACTTTGACAATAAGACATACATTGTCAAAGCATGGTCACCTGAAATAGAGTTTTCCAAGGAAGAGTTGATGACAATTCCTATATGGATTAAGCTGCATGGGTTAGACTTCACATATTGGAGTGAAAAAGGGTTGAGTAAGATTAGAAGCTTAGTGGGGAAGCCATTATTGGTCGATAAGCACACTGAAAAGAAATTAGGGCTGAGCTTTGCGAGATTGCTAATAGAGGCGAAGGTGGGTAATAAACTGCCAGAATAAGTGATGTTTCGAAATGAAAAGGGAATAGTTCTTACACAGAAGGTGTCCTATGATTGGAAGCCTTCCTTATGTAAGCATTGACATAAGTATGGACATGTACAGGCAGAGTGTAGGAAGCTGAATCATATACCAAAAATTACTACTGGGACAAGGGTAGACATAAAGAGAATAAAGGCAAGGAAAAGAGGGTTGAACAAAGGAGAATTCAGTAGGGCAATGGAAAACAGATGGATAGGGATAACACCAGTACATCAATAGGTGTGATTGTAAAAAACACATTCCAATCTTTGACACTAGCGGAAGAGCAAGAGATGGTTGCAGAACCACTCAGAAATGGTGTGGCTGAAAAACCAATCGCGGGGGTGAATGGTTAGTGTATTATGTCGGAATATAAGAGGTCTAAATGGCCTCTCTAAGAAGAAAGAGGTAAAACTCCTGTGCAATCAGCTTGAAGTGAACATTATTGGTCTGTTGGAGACTAAAGTAAAAAGTAATAATATGGAGTTTATAGCAGGTAATCTCTTTGGGGGGTTGGAAGTATCATACAAATCATTCTTCTCACTATAATGGAAGGATTTGGGTGATGCAGGGAGAAGATATGTGAAGTAACAATTTGTAGTGAGAATGCACAAGCAATGACATGTTTTGTTAACTATATTCCGCTACAAAAGGAATTTTACATGACATTTGTCTATGCTTACAATGGGAGGGAGGAAAGGAAAGAATTGTGGAGGTATTTAACTCAAATAGGGGCTTGAATGAAGAAAGTCTGGACAATTCTTGGAGATTTTAATGTTGTTCTACATAGTGAAGATAGGCTGGGTGGAACAACTTCAGATTAAGAGACAAGAAGAGAATAGTGCAGGAACAACTTCAGATTGACCCTACGTGTGTAGTACTGTTAGAAGAAGAGAATTTAAAAGGATAAGCTATTTGGCGGAAATCTTAATGGCCCAGAGAAGCAAGGCTACCTGGTTGAAGCTGGGAGATGATAACACACAATATTTTCATGTTCTGATCAAGCAACGAAGGCTCCAGTAGGCAGTAACACAATTGCAGGATGGTAACTTACAGGTTCAAACTGAACCTAGTCAGATTGTAGAATTTTTTGTGAACTATTACAAGAAGCTACTGGGTGAGGTGGGCACAATACCAAGACAAAAAGCTTCTAGTATGTTTTTGAAGAATGGGAAGACATTATTAGTGGACCAGCAGATGAAACTATTACTTGAATATACGATGAAAGAGGTAGAAGATGCTATCTTCAGCATCAAGACAACTAAGAGCCCTGGACCTGATGGGTACACAAGTGGTTTTTTCAGAGATGCTTAGGACATTGTAGGGGAAGAAGTCACATATGCCATTTTGGAATTCATGAAGAATGGTAGAATGTTAGGGCAACTTAATGCTACTGTGATTACATTAATTCCTAATATTGCGAAGCCACAAAATGCAAGTCAATTTCAACCAATCTCTTGTTGTAATGTGATTTATAAGGGTATATCTAAGCTTCTAAGTGCAAGATTGAGGAAAGTGCTACCTGAGTTAGTAAATGAAACACAAGGATATGGTTTCCCACCTAAGTTTTACCAACTTGTAATGACTTTGTGTAACAACAACAAAATTCTCTATCAAAGTCAGTGAAGACTGTCATGGTTTTTCTGAAGGGAAGAGGGGACTGAGGCAAGGGGATCCTATCTTCCCATTGTTATTTTTACTGATCATGGAATATATGTCAAGGGCCTTGACAAAGATGGGGCAATTTTCGGATTTCAAGCATCATCCTATGTGTAAAAAGCTGAATATGAACCATCTAATATTTGCGGATAATTTGATGATTTTTTTGTAAGGGGCATGAAGAATCAGTAAAAAGAGTGGGAGAGGCCTTATCACATTGCTCCCAAGTTATTGGTCTAAGTCCAAACTCTGAGAAGTCAAGTATCTACTTAGAAGGCGTGAAGGATGATATGAGACATAGACTATTGGAGTTGACGGGATTTGAGATAGGCAAGTTCCCAATTCGGTATCTGCGACTTTCATTTTCTCCCAGAAAATGGACTAAAATAGAATGTCAACAATTATGTAAGAGGATAACTGACAAGATCAGAGCCGTCTCCACTATACATCTTTCTTATGCAGGCAAATTATAGATTATCAATTAAAAATTAAACTAAAATTAGTTTTTTTCACTTCCGTTAGAGAAAAAGGGTATATGTGAGTCATTTATATAACAGTAAGGATATATATGTGTCACTTTCATAACAGTAAGGGTATATATGTGTCACTTTCATAACGAGGGGTATATCAGCTCTAAATGATAGTAAAGGTGTTTGAGTTGTTTCTGATTGAAAAGCACCATAACTTTTTCACCCACTATAGAAAATTTAAACAACAATAGGAGATAGACGTGCAACGCACATTCCCAGAACTAGTATAACTTAAATACAACCACACTCTAGGTTATTATTTGAAAAGTTATATGAATCTTTAACCTTTCCTTTTCCCTCCAACTTTGAAAATTACTCTTTCAATGACTTAAAAGTGTTCAAAGTTGTATTTCTTTTTGCTACTCATGATGTCTACATATCTTCTTTGTGATAGGAGCAAAATGGTTGAGTCTTCAAACCAAATTTTGTTTGATTATAGCAATTATATATGTACAAATCAAATTATGGACCACTATTGGCAACTTAACTTTGCATTTCTTTATCAGTCCCATTTTCTTTTATAAATATGATTTTTATTTAGTCGAAGGGAAACTTTGGAACTTTGGAATAACAATAACGTTGTTTCCATGTGATCTATAGGTCACTTTCATAGCGTGAAAACACTAATGCTTGCATTATAATAGGTTGTCTACATCATACCTCTTACAGTGCGACCCTTCTCTAAATTTTGTTAAGGCGAAATGACTTGTGCATCGTATAACCCTTTTATGTGTTTCTATTTAGTCAAAATATTCTTTACTTTGTGTATGTATATGCTGATGAGCCATTGCAAGCGGTAGAAATGTCCAAATTGATGCAAATCCACTACTTCTAAGAGATGATAATGAACATTTTGGGAAACTACTTAGTGAACACCAACATTTGTTTGGGGATAGAAAAGATGGATTAATAGATATATGTTTGATACAACGAAAATAATTCTTTTTAAAAAAGAAAATCATGAAAAAAGGGTGAGCATATTTTTCCATCAAAAAGAGAAAACAACTTCCGTTATGAATGTGAAAGTCTTTTTTCTTGTAATAATCTTAACTTTTAATTTTATATTACTTGTTCTAATAAGCACTTGAGCGTTATTATTATAATCTGTCTTGAGTACTCAAGATTTTCGCTAATATACTTTACAATTGGCTAATATAATTTATTATTAATTTTTATCTAGGTTGATAATTGAAAAAATATGTTTTGCTTATCAATAAATATCCGAAAATAATTTTCATGAAAAAAGATATTTTCCAAAAAAAATATTTACTATGAGTAATGATTTGGTGACATAAAACACACTATAAATTTTTTAAATGATTGGCCT